GATAAACACACCCACAGATTGTGTGTCAAAAGAAGAACATTACAGTCATCTGTTTAACATTATCACCACCTAGTGAACGCTAACAGAATAGCTAGCTACCTGTATTATAACTTATCATTAGTACAAAGCACATAAATATTCCATCCTTCTAAATATGATATGCTGTTGAAATATATAGGCCTTTGTGTTGACTTTACCTTTATCTAAGGTATTTTATGTAGATTAGAATCATTACAGTCAGGGGTGTACCTAGAGCATTTTGCACCTGGGACGGATCATGTGTTAGGCACCTCACCCACATGTTTTGTTAATGTTTTCAATAATATTTAAACTCCTGCACCCAGCATTCACAAAAACCATTCACCACCCTTACATAAAATTCATGCCCCTCCCCTTCACAAAATCCCTGCACCGCTCCTAGAAAAAAAAATTGCACCCCTCTTCCATAAAATTACTACACTTCCCCTTCACAAATAAAACCCTGCACCCCCTTACATAATATTCATACACCAATACCTTCACAAATAAAACCCTGCACCCCCTTACATAATATTCATACACCAATACCTTCACAAATAAAACCCTGCACACCCCTTCACATTAAAATACTGCAACCCCTTACATAAAATTCATACACCACCCCTTCACATAAAAACCCTGCACCCCCTTACATAAAATTCAGACACCAACCGCCCTTCACATAAAAACCCTGCACCCCCTTACATAAAATTCATACACCAACCGCCCTTCACATAAAAACCCTGCACCCCCTTACATAAAATTCATACACCAACCGCCCTTCACATAAAAACCCTGCACCCCGTTACATAAAATTAATACACCACGCCCTTTACATAAAATCCCTGCACCCCGTTACATAAAAATAATACACCACGCCCTTTACATAAAATCCCTGCATCCCGTTACATAAATTAATACACCACGCCCTTTACATTAAAACCCTGCACCCCGTTACATAAATTAATACACCACGCCCTTTACATTAAAACCCTGCACCCCGTTACATAAAATTAATACATCGGTGTAATGTTGCGTGCTTCAACACTCCCCCCCTGCTCCTCCACATCACTGCAATAGTATAGTGCTGGCTGACTGCGGTACTGCATTACAAGAATGGATGGGGGTGAGTTGGCACTGGCAGTCATGGCACACCCTATCAGTGGCACCCGGGGAAGACCCCCTCCCCCATTTGTATGCCACTGATTAGAGTCATTAATCAACATATTGATTATTGAGCAATTAAGGGATAACTTCAGTAAAAATAAACCTTTAATAAAATACTGTTTTTGATTACAAATAACATGGTTTTATACTACCTTGGTGATTTAGAACTACCCTAGTCACCCCTTCAAAGATAAAAAAAAACGATTAGCCAGAGGTGTGCAGTGGCAAAACTAATGCAGAGAGGACCCCCATTTAGCAAAAGAATGACCAAAAAGTAGATCCAAATCTGTTTAACTTGGACAATGCATTGCCCACTAGGTACTTAACATTTGCCCATCCTTTCAGGATTGTATTTTTGAGCAGTGTTTGTGTGTTTGAATGCAAACATGTTTTTGTATAGAGTATGTGGGTGCATGTATTTGTATGTACTGTTGCCTTTGAAAAGCAGTAGTGTACTTGTGTATTGTGTTTAGAATTGAATGCAGGGGTGTTTTTATATGTAGTGTTGGCTTTAACATGCATGAGTGCTTCTGTGTTTAGTGTTGGTGTTTGAATGCAGTGGTGTGTTTATATATAATGTCTGTGTATGATTGAAGGAGTGCTTTTGCATGTTGTGTTGGTGTTTGATTGCTGGGATGTATGCTTATAGACTGACACATACATACAAACTTAGAGAGATACACACACATATACACACATATAAACTCACTGACACATACACACACACATTCAGATACACACTGACACATACCGACATATACACAGACCCTGACACAAAGAAATACACACTCACACATGTGCACACGCACTTAGATACACACACTAACACATGTATACACCTTGACACACACATACACAAACTGACACATACACACACTTGACACAGACACAAACACATTGATGCACAGATATACTCACTGACACATACACACACTGACATGCAGATACACACACAAAAACCTATAATGCTTCACTCACTGTGAGGTGCACGAAGAGAGCCAGCTCCAGCCCCACACTCTAATCAAACTCAGCTAGCATCAGTTGGTCCCCAAGGAAGCCATTCTCACACAAAATGTATGTTAGCAGGAGGCAGGAGGGTGGATACCAATCTAAAAAGTATATTATGCATGTGTGCTTCTATTTATGTTTGTGTGTGTGTGTGTGTGTGTGTGTGTCAGTGTATGTATGTGTCAGTGAGTGTATATATCAATGGGTGTATTTGTGTGTCAATGTGTATGTATCTGTGTCAAGTGTGTGTGTGTGTGTGTATCTGTGTCAAGTGTGTATGTGACCTGCTTTAACTACCTGCCAGCATCATTGATACTACACAGACCCAGTCGCACTGTTAAAGGACCACTGTGCCTGACTTTGCTCCTGTTATGCAATAACCATTTGGTAACCCTAAGTGTATCGGCCACCTGATGGACCCCATGAGCATACGGAACTCAATTTAGCCACACCGGCTGCTCCAACAGTAGTTTCCACACTTTCAGAGTGGTAGGGATGTCAGGGAGAAAGGGAACAGGGGAAAACTTAGGTGTTATGGAGGGTGCTGTGCCACGATTGATCACCTGTCACCAGCATGCTGTGCAAGCTAACAACAGACATCCAATATGCATAGAATTAAATTAGCCAGCCCAGAACTTTTGATCTCTTCTAAATACTAAATGATGCTAAAATACACGGAGTTACACCTCTGGTACCAAAGGACTATATCTTCATATCTGTACCATTTTTTTGTGAAATTCTGTATTTACAGACTCCAAACACCAGGACAACTTCAGATCACTAAAGTGGTTATGGTGTTTGGAGTAACCCATTAAATTGAATATCAATGCAAGAAATGGAAAGAAAATATTATACCATGGAAACTGTCATGAGGACATGTACATAGTGGGTTCAATGGGTATAGTGCTGGGGACAATGCTAAAAAGAGAGGAAAGATGAAGATGATTTTGACTGAAAGAGACTGATGAGAGAGGGGCAGCTTCAGAATTAGAAGAAGAGGCTGAATAATGATATTTGTAAACAGGTGTGAATTCAGGAATTTATGATTTGACTAGCTGGATGTAACAATGACGTTTATTTCAGCAGCAGGGCAAAAATAAAATAAAAGTAAAGACAGCATGGAGGTGTGGGTATGATAAAGAAGTCATGATGAAAGAACTGAAAAGATAGATTATAATATAATAAGAAATGAATGAGAACATAAACTTGAGAAAGGAATTTGAACAGAGGAAATTGACAGGTTTGAAGCCTGAAGGATTTTGAG